TCTCCCAATCTCACCTCTTATTGCTATACTATATTTTATTTCTACCTTATTTTTGTACTGTGAAAATTGATCTCATTTTTTCTGCGATCAATGCTAGCTTAGATTTACCCATATTTACCACTTTCTCTGCTCACCATTATTTTGACATCAGTGTTTTTTCCATGAAGGTCTGTGAATGGTGGTGTCTCTCAGCCTTTGCTGGAAAATGTCTTTTAATTTATCCTCTTTCTTGAGCGATAGCTTAGCTAGGTAAGGACTGAAATTATTCTCTCAGTGCTTTGATATTATTTCACGGTCTTCTGGTATTTATTGCTGTTGTTGAGGTGTGAGGCCTCCAACTTTGTTCTTTTCCAAGATTGTTTTGACTATTTGGGGTCCCTTGCATCTCCAAATTAATTTTAGGATCAGTTTGTCCAATCTGCAAAAAATTGAAGTTCGAATTTTGATAGAGATTGCACTGAATCTGTAGGTCAACTTGCAGGTATTGCCACTGTAACAATACTGAGTCTTCCAATCCATGAACATGGGAAATCTTTCCATCTATTTAGGTCTTCTTTAATTTCTTTCAACAATGTTTTGTAGTTTTCAGTATACAAGTCTTGTTCTTCTTTGGTTGAATTTACCCATAAGTATTTTTTTTTTTTTTGATGCTGTGGCGAATGGAACTGCTTTCTTAATTTCATTTTCAGTTGTTCATTGCTAGTGTTATAGACATATAACTGATTTTTGTGTACTGATATTGAATCCTGTAAGCCTGCAGAATTCATTTATTAGCTCTAGTAGTTTTAGGTTTTTTTTTTGCATGTACATGTGGATTTCTTAGAGTTTTCTATATATGAAATCATGTCATTTGCAAGTACAGATAGTTTTATTTCATCCTTCCAATCTGGATGCCTTTTATTTCCTTTTCTTGCCTAATTGCCCAGGTTAGAATCTCCAATACAATGTTCATTATGATTTCTGAATATTCAGAATCATGTCTTTGTCTGTCTCTGTCTCTTGTCAAATGTCTCTGAATATTGCATCCCCACCTGTGTCTCTATTCTCTCCTTGTGGAATTCCTACTAGATATATAATGGACCTATATCTTTCATATATTCCATTTCTACTTTTTCCCATTTTTATTTATTGTGGTAAAATACACATAACATAAAATTTACCATTTAACCATTTTTTCCTTCTGACTTGAGTAATTATATATAGTATATATATTTTTTTACAATCTTAATTATTTTTAAGGATACAGTTCAGTGGTATTAAATACATTCATAATGTTGTGCAACCATCACTACCATCCATCTCCATAACTCTTTTCACCTTGTGAGACTGAAACTCTATACACATTAAACAATAACTTCCCTCCCACCTCCCCCCAGCCCCTGGCAACCACCATTCTACTTTCTGTCTCTATGATTTTTGACTATTTTAAGTACCTCATATCAGTGGAATCATACAGTATTTAGCTTTTTCTGACTGGCTTATTTGACTTAGCATAATGTCCTCAAGGTTCATTCATGTTGTAGCATGTGTCAGAATTTCCTTCCTTTTTAAGGCTGAATGATATTCCAGTGTATGTATATATCACATATATTCCTTCATTCATGTGTGGGTGGACATTTGGGTTGCTTCCACCTTTTGTCTATTGTGAATAATGCTGCTATGAACATGAGTGTGAAAATATTTCTTCCAGATCCTGCTTTCAATTCTTTTGGGTATTTACTCAGATGTGGAATTACTGGGTCATATGGTAATTCTACTTTTAATTTTTTGAGGAACCACCATACTTTTTGACACAGTGGCAGCATTATTTTACATTCATTCCAAACATTGCACAAGGGTTCCAATTTTTCCACATCCTCACCAACACTTGTTATTTTCTGTGTGTGTGTTTTTTTTTTTATAGTAGCCATACTAATGGATGTGAGGTGGTATCTCAATGTAGTTTATTGTAATCATTTCCTAATAGTAAGTGATGTTGACATCTTTTCATGTGCTTATTTGGCCACTGTATATTTTCCTTAGAGAAATATTTATTCAAATCCTTTGCCCACTTTTGAATAGGGTTGTTTTTTTGTTATTGAGTTTTAGGAGTTCCCTATATATTCTGGATATTAATCCCTTATCACATAGAGGATTTGCAAGTATTTTCTCCCATTCTGTTAGGTTGCCTTTTTACTCTCTGGATATTGTCTTTTGAAACACAAATTTTTCAAATTTTCATGAAGTCCAATTTCTCTATTTTTTCTTTTGTTGCTTGTACCTTTGGAGTCATATCCAAGAAATCATTGCCAAATCCAATGTTGTGAAGCTTTTGCCTTATGTTTTCTTCTAAGAGTTTTATTGTTTTAGGTCTTATGTTTAGGTGTTTGATTCCTTTTCAGTTAATTTTTGTATATGGTGTGAGGTAAGGGTCCAACTTCATTCTTTTGCATGTGGACATTCAGTCATCCCAGCACCATTTGTTGAAAAGACTGTCCTTTCCCCACTGGATAGTCTCGGCATCTTTGTCAAAAATAATTTGATCATATATACAAGGGTTTATTTCTGGGCTCCCTATTCTATTTCATTGGTCTATATATCTAATTCTATCTATTTACATGTTTTAGTTTTATTCTAGGAATTTCCACAGATCTATCCTCAAGTTTATTGTTTGTTTTTTCAGCTTTAACTCACCTTCTGTTTATCATGTCTATTAAGTATTACATTTCTATGGCTATATATTCTAGTTTTGAAAATTCTACTTGGTTCTTTTCCAAATATTGTTCTTTTGGTTTCAATTCCTTCTTTTACATTTAATGATTTTAAACATAATACTTTTCTCTTTCTGATTATTATACCATCATCTCAGATTGGAAATTTAATTTTCCTGTTTGTTGTATCTGTGAACTCTTGCTCATGATGGAATATTTCTTTGTATTTTATAATTTTTATTATAAGCTCACCACTATGGGGGCTTGTTTTTTCCATAGGAATAATGAAGAATTATTGCCTCAGTGTCTCTAACAAAAGGAAGCCTGTGGCAAGAAGCATAAAGTAGAATGGTGGTTGCCAGGAGCTGAGGGCAGGAGGAATGGGGAGTTGCTGTTTAATGGGTACAGAGTTTCAGTTTTGCAAAATGAAAAAGTTCTGGAGATTGGTTGCACAACAATGTGAATGTACTTACCACTACTTAACCATATAGTTAAAACTGGTTAAGACGGTAAATTTTATGGTATGTGTATTTTGTCAGAATTAAAAATAAAAAAGGAGACCTGTGACAGACCAGGTAGAAAAACAGAAAATCTGAAGATAAGATAGAATTAGTAGATAGGTACTGTTTATCACACACCTATAAACAAGCTCTAATATCATCATTTAAAAACAGAAGCAAAACTGAAACCCTTCCTTGAACACACATTTCTCACCCTCAACAACCAAACTCTAGACAGAACTGTCTGCCTCAGCAGTCTCTGCTCCTTTGCCTACCTTGAAAGTCAATGCATTCGAATCTGGCTCTCACTCCTCATCACTCCATAAGGTCTCTAATGACTCTAAACCCAAGGGACACTTTCCAATCCTATCTTCTGACACCTCTCAGCAGCCTCCACCCAGTCGTCATTCCCTCTGTGAATCAGTCTTCTTAGCTGCTTCCTCCACAGGTTCTCTTGATTTTCTTCCTTCCACACTGGCCTGTCCTATCTCTTGACTGGGTTTTCATTCTATTCTCGACCTCTACATGTTGGGGCTTGCTCCTAGACACTCTTCCTTTTCATTCCTAGATGACCACATCCATTCCCACTAAAATTTGTTTTTCATTTGTAAGATTAAAAAAAAAAATACTTGGAAACAAAAATGGCTCATAATCCCTCTGCCCAGATGGCCTCTGTTGATCTTAAACAAAAACAAAAACAAGCAAGAAACAAACAAAACAAATGGAATATTTGTACAGGGTTGGAATATTCAAAAAGCATCAAAAGATAAAAGGCATTATCCCCACACGGTTGTTTAAGCCAGAACCTCTGGAGTCATTTGTGATTCTTCCCATCCATCGCCTTGGCTTCCACATCCAGACGCTGGTCATGTCCAGCCACTTCTGCTTCTACCACATAACTAACTCATCTGCTTTTCTCCTCCACCACCAGCAGCCTCCTACTTGCTCCCGTGGATGATTCCAACAGCCTCCTTCCAGTGGTACCCACTCCCACACCTGTTCTCCTCTAAGCCAGCTTCCACACAGCAGCAAGAAGCATGTCACATCCTTCTTTCCTCACCAGCCCCCTCAGCTAGGTTCCCATTTCAGGTCCCTGAACACGTCAAGTGGTCTTTTTATTCTTGGAGCCTTTGGTCAGGCTACCCACTCAGCTCTCACCCTTGGGCTTCCCAAGCTGGCTCCCTTTCACCTTTCAAGTCTCAGTTTAAATAGCAACTCAGAAGGACCATTCCTGACTACCCTATCTAATAAGGTATCAGTCTCTGTTTTTATGCATCTCAGACTTATTTTGCTTCTTTATTGGTACATTGTTATATATATATTGGTAATGGTCTTATTCATCTGTTTACTTGTTTATCTCTGTCTCCCCAGCAGAGCACAAGTGCCTAGAGGGCAGGGACTGTCTCCATCACACTCTCTACTATGTTCTAGCACCAACTCCACATTCGCTGAATAAACATGCCAGGCATTGTGCTACGTGTTTTACTTGTGTCATCTTATCCAATTTTCATCTGCAAAGTAGGTATTTTTTCCCATTTTGTCCATAAGGAAACTGAAGCTCAGAAAGATTAAGTAATGAGCCCATGGTCACACAGTTGGGGAGCAGCAGGCCAGGACTCAAACCCAGTGTGTCTGGCTCCAAGACCCATGCTCTGTCCACTATGCCATGCTCTCTTCCTGCTGTCTGATTCCCCTCTCCTCGGTGCATGGCATGGTGGGCATTCAACACATCGGCTAAGTGAATGCAATGACAATAGCCTAGCAGAGTTTATGCACAGAAAGTGCTAAGTTTCACCCTGGAGGTTCTTACCAAGTAGGCTGCAGAGACCAGTTCATAAATGATGGCCTGGGCTCCAAGTTCTGTCACGTTAATCAGTCCTGAAACGTTGGCAAAGGCACACACAAAACACATTTCAAAAAGTGGATTAAAGCAAACATTTTCCTTATGAAACTAGTACATATCTTAATTTAAGAGAAGCGAAGACTGCCCCCAGAAGCATAACCCAGTGGAAGAATTCACCATCTGTGCAGAGAGGAACCCCAGCCCATTCCCAAGAAGCTGCCAAGAACTCAGGCAGCTAAGACGTGATACAGCTTCACTCTACAAGCCCCTACTCCACCAGGGAAGAAAACATCAGGTGTAAAGTAGAAAACAATGAGGCTCCTAGATTTACAGGTCAGTCCTCAGGGAGATGTATGGGGAGGGAATGTGGGAGAGAAGGGATGGAAGGCAGTGGAACTCTATATAGAGCTGATGGGACTATTGCCGTATTCAAGTGTCCACAGAAACTTTAACACCAATTATTATCATCCTCTGTCTCTTTTATTTTCTCTATTACTTTACTAGCAATAAGATGGCTAAGGTGAAGAGCTATGACCAAAATTGTTACAGTTCTCATAGAAACACAGATCATGTCTAAGACAGAGCCAAATCAGTCACTGTGTGTTTATAAATGTCTTAAAAACTTGGCATCACGTCTAGCAAAAACCAACTGAAGCAGAAGATGGTCTGTGAGAGTCAGGAGACCTAGATTCAGGGTTTTGTTCTCCCGCTCCGTGACCCTCGCAAAATCTTCACAGCGGCCTTCCTTTCCAAACCTACAAAATGAAGGGCAGTGAGGTAAAGCTAAAGCCCACCCGACCTGAACATGCTTATGGTTGGAGAAGGATTTAAACCTAAGTTGAAAACTTCCATGAGAGCCTGATGTAAAGAAGAGGAAGGAGAAGTAAAACTTACACTTCTTCAACAGCCCTGGAGACATGACTAGCAGGCTGTTTTTACATTTCTACTGAACTGCTGACAAACCTGCAAGGAAGGTTCCGATCTCGAAGGTCCACCACTCAATGCACAGCATGAACACACTGGGAATAGCCAGCTGGATGTAGGAGTCCCACTCCTGGAAACAGTCTCTAGTCCAACCTGGAGGACGGGCAAGAAAACAGGCACTTACTTTTCAACAGTCTCTGATACTAACAATTTTATTTCACATACCTGCCTCTTCCAAATGGCCAGAGACTAGGAACAACTGCAGTTCTCTAGAAAAATAACTGACTTTAAAGATGTCAACCAAGACCAGAGTTTGAGATGGCAGGAACACAGCTGGCAATACTTGGTGAAACTGAAGTTATGTATATGCCCTATCACCCACACATTTCTCTCCTGGTATAAATGACAGAGAAACTTTCATAGAGCTCCAAAAGAAAACATGCAGGATATTCACTGTGGCAGGTTGTGGTTGTGGGATATTGGGGCCATCAGGGGGACCATCACTAGGGAACTAGAGAAGTAAAATATGATGGATGCATATTATAGTCAAATCAGAACACTGGATGTACAAATGGCATTGTAGTTAGATCTAAAAATACATTATGCCAACAGGCAACAAAAGTAAAAACAGATAAATTGGACTACATCAAAATTTAAAACTTCCATGTGTCAAAGGACACAATCAACAGAGTGAAAAGGCAGCCCACAGAATGGGAGAAAATATTTGTAAATCATGTACCTGATAAGGATATCTGGATATCATAATATCCAGAATATATAAAGGACCCATAGAATTCAACAACAACAATAAAAAACCCAATTAAAAAATGGGCAAAGGACTTGAACAGACATTTCTCCAAAGAAGATATACAAATAGCCAAAAAGCACATGAAAAAATGCTCAACATCACTAATCATTAGGAAAATGCAAATCAAAACCACAGTAAGATGTCATCTCACACCCATTAGAATGGCTGCTTTAAAAAAAAAACAAACAGAAAATAACAAGCGTTAGCAAGGATGCAGATAACTTGGAATCCTTGTGCACTGTTGTTAGGAATGTAAAATGGTGCAGCCACTATGGAAAAACAGCATGGTGGTTCCTCAAAAAATTGAAAGTAGACAGGACCGGCCCGGCAGAGTAGTGGTTAAGTTTGCGTGCTCAGCTTCAGCGGCCCAGGGTTCACACGTTCGGATCCTGGGTGTGGACCTACGCACTGTTATCAAGCCATGCTGTGGTGGCGTCCCATATAAAGTGGAGGAAGATGGGCATGGATGTTAGCTCAGGGCCAATATTCCTCACCAAAAAGAGGAGGATTGGCAGATGTTAGCTCAGGGCTAATTAAAAAAATTAAAAGTAGAATTACCATATGATCCAGCAATACCACTTCTGGGTATATATACAAAAAAATTGAAAGCAGGATCTTGAAGAGATATTTGTACACCCATGTTCATAGCAGCATTATTCACAATAGCCAAAAGGTGGAAGCAACCAAATATCGATTGACAGATGAATGGATAAACAAAATGCAGTATATACATACAATGGAATATTATTCAACTTTAAAAAGGAAGGAAATTCTAACAAATGCTATAAAGTGGATGAACTTTGAGGACATTATGCTTAGTGAAATAAGCCAGTCACAAAAAAACAAATACTATACAATTTCACTTATATGAGGTATCAAGAGTAGTGAAATTCCTAAAGACAGAAAGTAGAACGGGGGTTACCAGGGATGAGGGGAGAGGGAATGGGGAACTGTTTAATGGGTACAGAGTTTCGGTTTTGCAAGATGGAAAAGTTCTGGAGATGCATGGTGGTGATGGCTGCATGACAACGTGAATGTGCTTAACACAACTGCATACTTAAAAATGGTTAAGATGGTAAATTTTATGTTATGTGTATTTTACTACAATTTAAAAAACAACAACAGAACACTGTGCTAAGTCAGAGGTCCACGAACTTTTTCTGTAAAGGGCCAGATAGCAAATATTTTCAGCTTTGCAGGCCAAAAGGTCTCTGTTGCCGCTATTCAACTGTGCCGTAGCAAAGCAAGAGAAAAGAGAAAATCTCTCAAAGTACAGCATAGTTACAGAGAGAGAACACGGGAAAGAGAAACGAGCAGATATGTAAGATATCTGAGTGCAAAGGAAAGAACAGCTAGAAATGGAGACAAGTCATAGAGGAAAAGGCTAAAATTTTTCCAGAATTTAATAGAGGTCCTCAGATTAAGAAAGTTTACCAAATGCCTACAAGATAATTTTTTAAAAATCCTCATGTGACCATGCTGTGGTATAAAAAAGGAGAAAGAGAAAATCTTTAAAACTGTGAGAGAAAATACTTGATTGTTTACAAAGAAAAGACAATCAGGTTTATGGTGGACTTATCACTAAGAATAAGAAGGAAAAAGTGTAATATCAGCCATGCAAAATTACTATCGACTTAGATTTTTATACCCAGCAATATTCAAGAATGAGAATAAGATGATTTTTTAAAAAACATTTAAAAGGTAAGAGTTTACTCTTTACAGATCCTTGCTGAAAGAACTACTGAAAGATGTATTTCGGCAAGAATAAAAGTAAATCCAGGAGGAAGGAATGAGATTCAAGAAGCAACAGTGAAGAAATTAACTTCTTTTTTTTTTTTTTTGTGAGGAAGATCAGCCCTGAACTAACATCCATGCTAATCCTCCTCTTTTTGCTGAGGAAGACCAGCTCTGAGCTAACATCTATTGCCAATCATCCTCCTTTTTTTTCCCCCCAAAGCCCCAGTAGATAGTTGTAGGTCATAGTTACACATCCTTCCAGTTGCTGTATGTGGGACGCGGCCTCAGCATGGCCGGACAAGCAGTGTGTCGGTGCGTGCCCGGGATCCGAACCTGGGCCGCCAGTAGTGGAGCGTGCGCACTTAACTGCTAAGCCATGGGGCTGGCCCAGAAATTAATTTCTAAAACATGTTGATAAATCTAAATATAAGAAAATAATATTTTATTAGAATTTTTAAAAATCTGGAACTAAACTTATAATTGACAATAAAAACAGAAGGTAAGACTACGGAGAGAGAAAATTAAGATGTGCTATCTTATTTGGGAAGAGGACAGAGATAAGAAAAAACATGTATTTCAGAATATTACAATGAGCATTATAGTTGCCTGTCCAACCACCATTCCTCCTCCTCTTGGAAACTCCTATCTCTCATTCAGGTGTCCACAGTCCCCTTGCACACCAATACTGAAACACCTACACTTGGACTTCCAGTTACATGAGCCAGTTTAACCTTTTAATCTTTAATGGTTAAGGTAGAGTGAACTGGTTTTTTTGTTTTTAACTTACAGCTGAATGCATCCTAACTGATGCAAGTATGCATATTAAAAATTTAAGAATATTTGAAACCCCCAATATAATAGGTGATCCAAGTGAGAATCATCAGTGGGTGCTGAAACCATTGGATGAAAGATTATTGGAGAACCAGAGAGTCAAATGATCTCCATCACCCTACAGATTACTTGCTAATTACAAAGGAGAAAATTATATTTCCAAAGGAGAAATCTAGCAGTCACTACCTTAACCAAATGATCAAACCCAGCATCACCTGAAATTATTTGCCTCCAGATGCAGTGTAGTAAGTACACACCATTCCCCATGGGGTTTTCTTGCCCAAATGCTGTAACCTGAATCTACTGCTGAGGACACAAACATGAGGAGACAAATCCAGAGTGTAGGACATTCTACAAGACAACTGGCTCTTTGAAAAATCAGTGTCACAAGAATAAAAAAGATAAAGGGATTGTTTTAAATAAAAAGAAGATAAAGAAACAACAACCAAATGCAACGCATGAACCTTGACTGGATCCTGGATCTCAAAAACAGGTTTAAATATACGATGGGTTGGGGACAACTATGGAAATTTGAATATAGAATATACATCACATGATATTATTGAATATCATATTCAATAATGTTTTTCTATTTTCTTCAATATGGTAATATTGTGGCTATTTAGAAGAATGTTATTTAAGAGATGCATGCTGAAATAATTAGCGGTGAGGCATCATGACGTCTTCAATTTGCTGGACAGCAAAACAATGGATACATATGTTGAAAGAGAGAAACAAATAGGGCAAAATGTTAACAGTTGGCAAATCTAGATAAAGCATAATGGAATGATCATTAAACCATTCCTTCTACTTATCAGTGGGCTTGAACATTTCAAAAATAAAAAGTCGGAGGCAAAAATGAAAAAGTGCTTGAGACTTGAAAACAATTAAAAGTATTTAAGGCTAGTAAAAAAAATAGCAGCTAACATTTGTTGAATGCACTTTATGTTATAGTCTTTGTTCTAAACACTTCACATGGATTAACTCAGTTAATCCTCACAACAATTAAATGATAAAGGTCCTATTATCATTACTACTTTACAAATGAGGAAACCGAGGCACAGAAGTTAGGTAATTTTTCCTACTAAGAAGTGGGACCTGAGCCTATGCAGTCTGGCTCCAGAGTCAACGTGTTTAACAACTTTGCCCTACCACCTCCCAGATGAAGAGGAGTTACAGTAAGAGTAGAGGATAGTAGAGAAAAGAAAGAAAGTATAGTATATAATCATTATACATTTGGTGTGTGTGTGTGTATGTATATATATATATATAGTGTGTGTGTGTGTGTGTGTAAGGAAGATGAGCCCTGAGCTAACATCTGTTGCCAATCCTCCTCTTTTTGCTGAGGAAGATTGGCCCTGGGCTAACATCCGTGCCCATCTTCCTCTACTTTATATGGGAGGCTGTCACAGCATGGCTTGATGAGAGGTGCGTCGGTGCGCGCCCGGGATCAGAACCTGCGAACCCCGGGCCAACAAAGTAGAGC